GACTTGCCTGGAAGGAGCCTGTTATAGAGGGTTGGTTATGTTGGGAGATTGGGCCTGAATATCTCACAGAAATAAGTTGCCATCCTCAAGTTGGCCCTTTCCCAAGCACTGTAAGTGAGTGGGTCAGGCAAGGCCCCAAATGGAGGGTTGGTTGGATTCCTGACAGTTTGCCAGCCAGGCCCCACCTACGGCGTCTGTGGAACAAACAGAGGTCTGGTGGTTTTCCCTACTATCCTCCCACTCGAGAGTTCATTTCTGGTTGGGAGACAGGATTCTTAGCACCTCTGGTGTCAAAAGGCTGTCATGGGGTTGTGCCAATTAATTACCAAACATTGAGCCTGTAGGCTTTGAGTGGGAGTGTTGTCCCCAGGAGCCTTATCTCAGCCAATTACCTTTCTTGACAGTAGGAGCGGCTTCCCTCTCCCATTCCCTCTCTTCACTTCCTTTTCTTCCTTTCCCCTGTCTTCATCCCACTGCTTTCCCATGCTTCTTTCTGGGTTGTAGGGGAGACTGACTGCCTGCTCAAGGACACTCCCTGCTGGGCATAGGATGTGCCTGCAAAAAGTTCCCTGAGCCTGTAAGCACTCCAGGTGGGGAAGTGGACAGGAGCCATTGGTCATAACCAGACAGAATTTGGAAAAGTTTTCATAAAGCTCCATGGAGAGTTTTAAAGAAACATAAGTAGCATGATTTTTTAGGAGATGAAAAAGATTATTTAAATAGGATTTAAATCATGCGACAACCAGAGTATCACAGCCAGGATGACCCCTGGGTCCCATTCCTAAGACATGGTTACTTTATTTTCCCCTTGTTAAGACATAGGAAGACTTAATTTTTAAATGGTCAGTGTCCAGTTGAAGGCAGAACACTAATCAGATTTCAAGGCCCACAACTTGGGGACTAGACCACCTTACATTGAGGGAACTCTGCCACCTGCGTGCAACCCATGGCTAAAGTAAATTCAATGACACTACTGCCCTGATTACTCCTTAGGATGTGGTCAAAACAGCATCAAATGTTTCTTCTCTTCCTTTCCCCAAGACAGTGTCCTGAACCTGTTAAATTAAGTCATTGGATTTTACTCTGTTCTGTTTACAGTTGACTATTTAAGGTTTTATAAATGTAAATATATTTTGTATATTTTTCTATGAGAAGCACTTCATAGGGAGAAGCACTTATGACAAGGCTATTTTTTAAACCGCGGTATTATCCTAATTTAAAAGAAGATCGGTTTTTAATAATTTTTTATTTTCATAGGATGAAGTTAGAGAAAATATTCAGCTGTACACACAAAGTCTGGTTTTTCCTGCCCAACTTCCCCCTGGAAGGTGTACTTTTTGTTGTTTAATGTGTAGCTTGTTTGTGCCCTGTTGACATAAATGTTTCCTGGGTTTGCTCTTCGACAATAAATGGAGAAGGAAGGTCACCCAACTCCATTGGGCCACTCCCCTCCTTCCCCTATTGAAGCTCCTCAAAAGGCTACAGTAATATCTTGATACAACAGTTTCTCTTCTTTCCCGCCTCTCTCCTTTCCGGCGCAACTTCCAGAGTGGTGAGAGATGGCAATCTTTTACATTTCCCTCATCTTTCTTACTTCAGAGTTAGCAAACAACAAGTTGAATGGCAACTTGACATTTTCCATCGCCATCTGCCTCACAGGCCACTCTTTCCTTTCCCTCTGCCCACCAAGGCCTCGTATCTGCAGAGAACCCATTGATCACCTTGTGCCCTCTTTTGGGGCAGCCCGTTGAAACTGAAGCACAGTCTGACCACTCACGATAAAGCAGATTTTTCTCTGCCTCTGCCACAAGGTTTCAGAGTAGTGTAGTCCAAGTAGAGGGTGGGGCACCCTTTTCTCGCCGCAAGAAGCCCATTCCTATGGAAGTCTAGCAAAGCAATACGACTCAGCCCAGCACTCTCTGCCCCAGGACTCATGGCTCTGCTGTGCCTTCCATCCTGGGCTCCCTTCTCTCCCGTGACCTTAAGAACTTTGTCTGGTGGCTTTGCTGGAACATTGTCACTGTTTTCACTGTCATGCAGGGAGCCCAGCACTGTGGCCAGGATGGCAGAGACTTCCTTGTCATCATGGAGAAGTGCCAGCAGGGGACTGGGGAAAGCACTCTACCCAGACCTCACCTCCCTTCCTCCTTTCGCCCATGAACAAGATGCAGTGGCCCTAGGGGTTCCACTAGTGTCTGCTTTCCTTTATTATTGCACTGTGTGAGGTTTTTTTGTAAATCCTTGTATTCCTATTTTTTTTAAAGAAAAAAAAAACTTAAGCTGCATTTGTTACTGAAATGATTAATGCACTGATGGGTCCTGAATTCACCTTGAGAAAGACCCAAAGGCCAGTCAGGGGGTGGGGGGAACTCAGCTAAATAGACCTAGTTACTGCCCTGCTAGGCCATGCTGTACTGTGAGCCCCCTCCTCACTCTCTACCAACCATAAACCCTGAGGACAGGGGAGGAGCCCACAGCTTCCTTCTCCTGCCAGCTGCAGATGGTTTGCCTTGCCTTTCCACCCCCTAATTGTCAACCACAAAAATGAGAAATTCCTCTTCTAGCTCAGCCTTGAGTCCATTGCCAAATTTTCAGCACACCTGCCAGCAACTTGGGGGATAAGCGAAGGTTTCCCTGCAAGAGGGAAAGGCGGCAAAAATGGCATAGCTATCTCCAAAACACATCTGAGTTCATTTCAAAAGTGACCAAGGGAATCTCCGCACAAAAGTGCAGATTGAGGAACTGTGGTGGGTCATTCCCAAGAATCCCCCAGGGGGCATCCCAAATCCCTAAGGAGTAACAGCTGCAAACCTGGTCAGTTCTCAGTGAGAGCCAGCTCACTTATAGCTTTGCTGCTAGAACCTGTTGTGGCTGCATTTCCTGGTGGCCAGTGACAACTGTGTAACCAGAATAGCTGCATGGCGCTGACCCTTTGGCCGGAACTTGGTCTCTTGGCTCCCTCCTTGGCCACCCACCACCTCTCGCACAGCCCCTCTGTTTTTAGACCAATAATAAGAATTAAGGGGGAAGCCCTGGCAGCTATACGTTTTCAACCAGACTCCTTTGCCGGAACCCAGCCCGCCACCCTGCTCGCCTCTGTCAAACACCGTCCAATACAGAGAGCACCATGTAAAACCCTTGATTTAAAAAAAAAAAAAAAAAAAAAAAAGGAAAAAAAAATACAACACACACACAAAAATAAAAAAAAATCTTCTAATGAATGTATCTTTCTAAAGGACTGACGTTCAATCAAATATCTGAAAATACTAAAGGTCAAAACCTTGTCAGATGTTAACTTTTTAAGTTTGGTTTGGGATTTTTTTTTTTTTTAAATAGAAATCAAGTTGTTTTTGTTTTTAAGGAAAAGCGGGTCATTGCAAAGGGCTGGGTGTAATTTTATGTTTCATTTCCTTCATTTTAAAGCAATACAAGGTTATTGAGCAGATGGTTCTGTGCCGAATCATGAATGCTGGTCAAGTCACACACTCTGGAAACTTGCAACTTTTTGTTTGTTTTGGTTTTCAAATAAATATAAATATGATATATATAGGAACTAATATAGTAATGCACCATGTAACAAAGCCTAGTTCAGTCCATGGCTTTTAATTCTCTTAACACTATAGATAAGGATTGTGTTACAGTTGCTAGTAGCGGCAGGAAGATGTCAGGCTCACTTTCCTCTGATTCCCGCAACGGGGGGAACCTCTAACCATAAAGGAATGGTAGAATAGTCCATTCCTCGGATTAGAGAAAAATGCAGACATGGTGTCACCTGGATTTTTTTCTGCCCATGAATGTTGCCAGTCAGTACCTGTCCTCCTTGTTTCTCTATTTTTGGTTATGAATGTTGGGGTTACCACCTGCATTTAGGGGAAAATTGTGTTCTGTGCTTTCCTGGTATCTTGTTCCGAGGTACTCTAGTTCTGTCTTTCAACCAAGAAAATAGAATTGTGGTGTTTCTTTTATTGAACTTTTAACAGTCTCTTTAGTAAATACAGGTAGTTGAATAATTGTTTCAAGAGCTCAACAGATGACAAGCTTCTTTTCTAGAAATAAGACATTTTTTGACAACTTTATCATGTATAACAGATCTGTTTTTTTTTTTTTCCTTGTGTTCTTCCAAGCTTCTGGTTAGAGAAAAAGAGAAAAAAAAAAAAAAAAAGGAAAATGTGTCTAAAGTCCATCAGTGTTAACTCCCTGTGACAGGGATGAAGGAAAATACTTTAATAGTTCAAAAAATAATAATGCTGAAAGCTCTCTACGAAAGACTGAATGTAAAAGTAAAAAGTGTACATAGTTGTAAAAAAAAGGAGTTTTTAAACATGTTTATTTTCTATGCACTTTTTTTTATTTAAGTGATAGTTTAATTAATAAACATGTCAAGTTTATTGCTGCACATGGTTAAGCTTCCTTTTGGCTTTGGTTGGAGAGGGTGGAGAAAAGGGGGAGGGGCATGGCCTGTGACCTGGTCACAAAGTACCTTCCACAGTCTTAAGGTGGCATCACTAAATCATTCCCTGTCGCCCACCTTCAGGTCCGCTCCACACTGGCTCTCTTGACTGTATTTTCTTCCTTTATTCATCAGTGATGTACGTTCAGGACCTAATTAATTGTGGATATGAGGCAGGGTCAAGAGGACAAAGGAACAGGGTCTTTACCTTCTACATAGCTCCCCTGTTTTATCCAAGGAGGTCAAGTAGTGATTTTTATCTATTTTCTCCTCAACTGTGAATATAATAAACAAAGCATTTCAGGGAGAAGCTGGAGAGCACCTTCTCTTAGCTGCACTCCACCTTAAGGCTGAAGCTGGATTTGTTTACTGTTTCTCCTGGGGGCAGAGGCAGTAGAGAAGTAACCAAATAGTCTGCCAAGCCAGGGCCAACCCTCCAGGCCACAGGTTGAGCAAATGCTAAGGGCCAAGGACAGGGAGAGACTCCTCATGAAGGGGTGGTCCTCATCCTTTCAGATCAACTTCCTGCTGGAGGCTCCACCCTCACCACGTCCCTCCCTCTTCTCTCATCCGGAGTCACCTTTTGGGATTTTGGAGTTGGGCACCATGGGGACTCCAAATGATCGGGCAGTGCTGCAGGCCATCTTCAACCCTGACACCCCATTTGGAGACATTTTTGGACTGGACCTCGGAGAGGAAGCAGAAAAGGAAGAACGAAAAGAAGGTGGGCATTTGATCTGAAGTGTAGCTCTGCACATAGGCTGGCCTGCTGGCCTCCCGAGGTGGCAGAGGTAGTGGTCTTATAAGGCCCCTTGTTCCATGATTATGATTGAGATTGGAATCAGAGAGGTTGGCTGCTCCTTAGTGCACTGATGGGGGTTTGGTAAGAGACGTCCTGCCAAGAGGAGTAAGCCGGGGTTTGTCTCTCAATCCATCAGCTCTCAGGCCTCTGAACTTACACTTAATTGATTGTATGATCCAAACTTAACTGTCAGGTGATGTTAAACTCTCATATTTTTGTCATAACAGAGAATACCACCACCAGAACGGAAGACTGAAGTAAGGCAGGGCATGGTTGCTCAGTTGAGTGGTTCCAATATAGCAAGCACAACTAGTATCCGTTAAACACTGTCACAAGCCAAGCTCCAAGCTAACTCTTCTGCAGTGAGTGTGTTCACTGGCTTTTCCATTAGTCCCTAATGAAGAAGTTTTTGATATCCTTTGTTTCTGAGGATTAAAGCCTACACCTTACTAACTCAGGCCGAAATGCTAAGGGATACATAAGAAGTGATGTTCATGATCTGGGAATGTCATGGTGGCCTTTGCATAAAAGGCAGTGTAGTAGAGTAAAATGCAGACAGGAGCCAGAATGACCTGGGTTCAAATCCAAGCTCTGCAATGTATGGCCTGTGTGACCTGGAGCAAGTGCTTTAACAGATTGAGGAGTTTGGGCTTCATTCTCTTGGCAATGGGGAACCAACCAAAGCCCCTTTCCAGGTCCCTTGGAACTCAGGCAATGCTAACTCCCAGCCTTAGTGACCTCATCTCCCCCTACCCCGAACACTGCAGCTGACCCCTGCTGTGACCCATTCCCAGTCAGCTCTGTCTCAGATCTCAGAATTCCAAAGCCTGAGGTGGCTTTTTCTTCTTGCTACCAACTGCACACCTGGCCCCTCCTGGCTCCTTCCCTGGCCCAGATGAAGTTTTCCCTCAAGCACAGCTGGAACAGTCCAAGGCCCTGGAGCTGCAGGGGGTGATGGCAGCAGAGGCTGGGGACCTCAGCACAGCCCTGGAGAGGTTTGGCCAAGCCATCTGCCTGCTGCCTGAGAGGGCTTCAGCCTACAACAACCGTGCCCAGGCCCGGCGACTCCAAGGAGATGTGGCAGGTAAGGGGAGATGCCCTGTATCCTCTGCAAAAGGGCCCACGGGAGGGCACAGACCAGAAATGAAGTGGCTGTGGGGCTGGGGTGGCCTTGCTAAACCCCTCTGGAGCCTGCCTTCTTACCTATAAGGTAGGAGATGTATTGGGGCCCTGCTAATATCATGGGGCTAATGTGAAATTCAGAAAAGACTGCATTCCATTAAGGAACAGTTAATGAGAGCCTACAATGTGGCAGTAGGTTGGTGCTGAGGACACTGAGATAAAGGGTATATGAATCGCCAACATTCATAGAGCAGTCACTATGTACCAGGCATTAATCACTTTACATATAAACTAGTAAATCAATCCTCACAACAACCCTAAAAAGTAGGTACCATTGTCATCCCCAGTTTATAGATGAAGAAACTGAAGCATGGAGAGGCTAAGTAACTTGCCCACTATCATACAGTCAGGTAGCAGCAGAGCTGAGATGTGAACCAGGTGGTAGGGCTCCAGAGTGTGTGCTCTTAATCGCCACATGATACTGCTCCTCAGAACGCTCCCACTCCAGGGGGCAGAACAGACACATAATTCTGAGACCAGCAAAACAAGTTTGAGAAGGGTCAGCGTGGGACCTGTTCCTGAAGGGCGAGTTTTAAAGGATGAGTTAGTTGGTGAGTGGAGAAGGTAGTCTGTAGAGGTCCAAAAAGCAGGCACAAGTACAGAGAGCTTCAGGTCTTCAGGCTGGGTGGAGCAGGGAGTGGAGGAGGGATGGAGAGCTGAGCCTGGAGCCGTGGGCAAGGGCCTGATGAACAGCTTGGGAGTATTAGGCTGAGACTGCACTGTCTTGAAAACATGGGGGATCACTCAAGGATTTTAACAGGAGAGTGACTGGATCAAACTCCTGCTGCATTCAGGTTATTCTAATTAAGTGGAGACAATGGGACCACACTGGGGACCAAAGATGAGGCTAATGTGAAGGTATAAACCACGGAAACCTAGTACTACTTGACTGTTAGGAGCAGTGGTGACGCAGGTGCTCCCAGAACCAGCAATGCCAGGCTAGGGAGTTTTGAGCCCACTCCAAGAACAATGGGAACCTCCCAAGGGCCCCTTTCCAGGGTTATCTGCCCCAGATCGCTGGAGACAGCCTGCAGACGACAACCCCAGGGAGATGCAGAGGTGCTTCCAACTAGAGATTCCTCCAGACCAGCTCCTCTGAGGGAAACCAAGGAGTACTGCAATCTGAGCGCTTCTCCGGAGGCTCGGGTTCTTTAGGAGACTAGAGAACATGAGTGAATTGAAGCCGAGTCCGAAAGAAGCCAGCCTGATGGACTTAAGAAGGTGGCTGGCTGCCTGAGGTTCTGAGTTCAGAGTTCTGAGGCCCAACCCAAGTATTTTACAAGAATAATAAAAATAAAAACGATGCAGGCCAGCTCTGGCTCCAGGACCAAGGAAATTAGATACATGGAGATAACCAAAGAATAACGAAAGGCAACCAGTCCAGGATATAGGGGAGAGAGAATGTGTTCTAAAGCAAGCAATGGAAAAGAGAAAAGGGCCCTCAAAAGGAAAACAATGAGAAACTGTCTTGATTGTACTTGTAAGAAATGACTGTGCAGTTAATACTATTTTTTTGAACCCTGACATTCAGAGTCAGTCACCTGGCCCACAGTGGATGCTTAATAACAGGTGTGGAATAAATTGGCTGCTACTTGCCCGGGCAGTGGGCCAGACTCATAAACATAGTGACCATTCAGAATCCCGCAACGTTCATGTTTTCGTATATTAGCGGTGGAAAATAACAGGAACAAGGCGAGACCTGGACTTCAGTCCCAGCTCTGCCACTAAGTGGCTTGGCTGTACAGCCCTGGGCCAGTCCTCTCAACTCTTCCACAGGCTTCGTCTGTGTAATGGGGATAACGATCCCTACCTCTAGCAGGTGCGAGGCGGGTTGTAAATGGCCACGCCCGGGAGCCGCGAGGACCACGGTGATCCGCGCGGCAGCAGGCGGGCTGGGGCT